TTTTGAAATTTTTGATTTTCTTCAGTTTTAATAATTCTTTCCAGTACAATGTAAGTTCTTTAGTATCTTAAGACTCAATATACTCCATAATCCCTATCTAAATTTTAGCAATTTTGGGCTTAGTACATATTTGAAATGGGTCCACATGAGTGGTTGAGTCTAGTTTGGTTCTCAACATTGGATATTCATTAAAATCGGGGTCAAAATCAGGGTTGCAATTGTATGGGGAATATAAAAATTAAAAAAAGAAAAAAATTGTCTGAGAAGATTTAAAAAATACTGATGTCCAAGTGGTATCCCCAAATGGACAGATATTCATGTATATGCTTCTCAGGTAATTCCCCTGGGCTTAGAATATGTCTTATGTTGGTCATATGATTAAGTGGAATCTATTTTGAATTATGATTTTTTTGTTCATTATTCTATAAATCTATCAAAGCACTCACTATTTTTAAAATAGTTCTCTTAATTAAAATATTGGGACACTGATTAAGTAACGATCAGCCCATTAGTGAGCTTAGTTCTATTCATGTAGGGCAGAGAGGAAATTTCCTCCTATTCCTCTGGGTTCTGCTTGGGCTGGCTGAGCAATCAAATTAGCATCAGATAGATTAGTAAAAAAAAATACGTATATATGGAGAATCAACATGTATATGGATTCTGAAACCAATGGGGCAATAAAAGAGGATATGTATTCTGAGTTGACAACAGGTAGGGAGCTGGGATTTCAAGGAGAATGTTTAGGGACTCACACATGACAAAGAGAGGGTGATTTATGATGAAGACCCATGCTCTGTAATTAGATGTTTGTCCTTCATATAGATAGGGTTTTTTGGATAGGGGAGTTATTTCTAGTAAAAATCCTAATTCTGGGCAACATCACCAATTTCCACATTCCTAGGTAGTTAAGAAAGTGGATAAGTTTCTTGAGAATCTGCAGAACCTCAAATAACCTCAGCTCAAAATAATCCATGTGCTAAAGTGACATGTCTTGGGAAGGACTGTTCTAAACATCTTGGGGAGGAGTATCCTTCACTCACATATATAGTTTTTACTTCATACAATGTCAAAAATAGAAATATGCCAAACTGCTTTTTCCAAAATGTGTAATTATGATGTCACCTAAATGTAACCAATTAAAAATTGCCTAAGAATCATGATAATCAACTGAAATGACTTGTATGCAACTACAAGTCATAAAATTATTTCAATAGACGCAATTAAAATTTATAGCTTATAGTGTGAAAAATAGGATCTGTTAGGAGAAAAAGAATTCTTCACTGTAGGTCATTAAATCTTCCCCCGTACATTGTTCATGATGTTTTTCAATCCCCCTTCACTTCTGCTTCCAAAGCCCCCCCACCCGCAACCTCCCCCTTTGCCCCAACCATAATCCGTAGTCCTGGAAAGGGTGAAGTAAAAAGAGCCCGTCTGATACAAAAGAGTTTTTCAAAGACATGGTTTCTGTGGCCAGAGATGTTGCAAGGAAAAGAGATTCTTTACTGCCCAATTAGAAAAATCAGCTGTTTTCAATTGCCTGTTTAATGGCGTTTGCTTTAGTTCTTTTGCCACACTAATTCCCATCCTCTAAATTAAAGAAATAAGTAGTGAGCTCATTTACCTCTTAAGATGCTTCTGAAGTAGCAGACTCTTTTTGAAAATGTTAACTAGTTCAAGTCAGAAGCTAAAGTTTGGGACAATGATTCTCAAATGTGATAATAGCCTTTACTTTTTTTTTTTTTTTGGTAAAGTACTTATGTGCAACTTAGACCAGGCCTAATTAACATCTTACAGCATAAAATTTGTAACTATGTGCACTGAAATTGACCAGGATAGAATTAAACATTTTTCAATATCTTTGCACCCTGGAGTATTTCTGAAATATTTCTCCATATTCAACAAAATAGACTAAAAGTATAACTGTTAAAAATAAACTGTAAAAGGTAAAAACACATAATAGGAATTCTGGTTTTCATTGGTCTTTGTAGGGTCCAGGAATGGACACGGAGCAGGTTTTCTGATCCAGCAGACAGGGTAAAGGAGGAGTCAGTGTCCTCAGTGGCTTTTTGCAGGTCTTTTATTGGGATTTAGCGGGTACATGGCAGGCAGGAGTGCTGGGGGGCCGGGAGGCTGGCAGTCCTCCCAGCCCCCAGCAAATCTTCACTCTGTCTGGGCTCTCTGGCATTCTGTCTGCTTCTGCTTCTCTTGCTTCTCTCTTGGCTTCTCTCTCAGCTTCTACTGGCGTCCCCGTGACGCCGCCCTTAAAAGCCCAGTCTTAGCCCAGGTGAATCCCATCTACCTATGCCCACACCCTACTCCAGGTGCCCGCCATCAGACATGCATTCAGGACCGCAAGGATCCATCATCTATCCTGATGATGGGAGGGCAGAAAAGCCTGACATTTTTCCTTACCCTACAGTCTTGCTGACTAATAGATGAAATGATGCAGAATTTTAGAGGAATTTAATAGTGCATAATAATAGACAAAAAGAGAACTGATCCAGGGCCTCCCTAGTGGCACAGTGGGTTGAGCACAGTGCTGTGAAGCTGTCTGCAGTCTCTGCAGTGCCAGTTTGATTCCTGGCCTGGCCGGGAAGATACCCACATGGCCCAGCAGACCTTTCCTGCCTAGCCTGCTGCTCCAGGCTTTTCGTCTGCCTGTTCTGCTCCCTGCTCTGTCTCTGGTGAATTCTCTCACCCTCCCGTGCCTCTGGCCTGTACTCCAGTTCTGGTATAAATAAAAATAAATTAAAAAAAAAAGAGAACTGACCCAGAACATTTTCCATAGCACAACATAAAAAAATGATCCAGAAGATCTTTCCCCATCCCATGCTAAAAAGCTTAACCAAGTTTCTAGCTCATTTCTGAAAATGAATTGGACTTAACATATATTTTGTATCCTAACTTAATATTGATTTCATGCAAACTGTCTCAATTTCTTTTCATATTAAGCTAAATTCTTTTGGCTGAAAGTTATAGAGAATTTAATTTCTATAAAGGGACTTTATATACTTCCTCTAAAATCATAGTTTAGCAATTTCACTTTTTCTCACTGAATTTTATAAAATATAACAAAATGCAACAAATTATTTACATACTTGTCCAAACACTGCTTCATAAGATAACAAGATAGTCAAAATAAAACTATAGCCTGCAAGCAGGCTATAGTTGAAAAATTTTTGTTGTGAAAATTTTTTTTTCACAAAAAAAATTTTTTTTTCACAAAAAAAAAGTGCCTCAATTGTCCATTCAACAGGTGAATGAAAATCTGAGTCATGCAATAGAATTTCACCATTGGTATAAAGTATTTAAAATGTATGAAAGTAGAGATTTTAAATCTTCATCCTGCAGGGATATTTCCCCCCAAATAGTTGAAATATAGCTTGTTACAATTAAACATAGCTATCATGTTACTTAACTTATTGTATATTTTAGGTCTAAATATTTCACTGGTTAAGAAAACTAAAAGGAAACAATTGTGACTTATATAGTGAGAAGTCAGAGATATAATGGAAAGTCTCTTAAATAGACAACAACCAGACAAACAAACTGAAATTGAGTTGTATTTGAAATGCTAGGATCCATTTTTCTCATTAATATGTGGATAGATGTGGCTAGTATGTGGCTGAAGAAGAAATCAACAGAGAAAAGACATAGAAACACAGTGACAGGTAGACTGTCTCTAAGACATCATTTTAGTACTGGGATCAAGCTTTTACTAAAGTTTGGGTAATAATAAAATGATTTAAACAATCAAGTAAAATGTTTGTTTCATTTAACTATATTGGAAACAAATCTATTTGCATTAAGCCCCAAATTTTATATCCAACACATTGGTAGCCTTTTGTCACCTCTTTTTGTATGCCACAGTCATCAGAATTACACTTTTGTACCTTAGGAAAGCTAATATTTCTGTTTTGTTAGCATCACCATTGCCATTCTCATACAATAGTGCTTGTGCAGATATATGAATATTTTAACATATTTTACCTATATTTTATAAAACTGAGTGGACAGTTGAATATGAATGGGCTTTCATTTGTGAGTTTTGGTAATTTTAAAGTTTGGAAACAACCTATTTTTAAGTTGAATGGCCATTAAATTTTTAGAATGTCAACTTTCACATTTATTTCCTATATACTTTATCAGAAAAAAAAGCTGGGTTAAGACAATTAATATAATTCAAATAAGATTATATAATGACAAATCAAATACAAAGATATATAAAAACATCTTTACAGCTACAATAACTTGCTACAAAATTATATTTTTATTCATTTTTTGAAAGAAGACAATTTTGATAACATAGAATAGTTGAAAGATAGAAAATTTAAAAAACTTCCACTGCAAAATAATTAAAACTCTACATACCTAAACGGACTTAGTTTGTATAAAGGGGGAATTACATTACACTGAATTAAATCAGTGACTATGGTATTCACATCAAGAATTATAACATCAACTTAAAACTGAAAATAAGGGCATAAGCAAAAACTAATAAATTAACCAATAATAAAACAAAATGTCATAATTTAATGTAGAATGCATTTTAAATGATTTATAATGTTTGAGTAACCTCTTTTTTTTACTGGGTAAAAGACTAAAGATGTTAAGTTTAAAAAATTTTTAATTTCTTACATACAGTAATTAATTAAAATGATACAAGTACTTTATTCAACAAAAATAAGTACTTGTAAAAGTACTTCAAAGTTCATGGGTTATTACTACTTCAAATATGGCAATATATGGTTATTTCTAATATTTCTAACATAAAATATGTACCTGTAATCATTTTTTTGGTAGAAATATACATGTATACAAAAGTTAAATAGGAAATGATTATTTCAACAAAAAGTATCTTTGCAAAAATAGTTCACAATTCCTATGAATAAGTCATACATTATATAGTCTAAATATTTTATATTATAATCTTCCTAGGAAATTATATGAAGTTATATATTAAAACATCCTAGTAAAAATTTTAATATTGAAGCATTGTGATTTTCAGTATATGTTAACAATAGACACAAACATAAATCCTACTGAATATGTGTATCTCCTACTCAGATGAACCTATAGCCCTTAGAATCATAGAAACTTGAGATATCTAATTTAACCTCTTTCATTTTCACAGCAAGTAAACAGATATCCAAATAAATTTATTTAGGCAATTAGTGATAAAACTAGGAGTAGAAGTTTTCCTAGCTAGGTTATAAGTTAAAATAATGGGTTAGTGTTATATTGCTAAACCTCATGCATGTCAGAAAGGACTGTCTACTTTCATTTTCCTACTGGTCTTCATACAATTGTCATGTATTTTATTTTTGCATATGTTTACAAACCCAACAACACTGTTTTTTAAGTGGTCAGTTATCTTTTAAGGAGACCAAACAAAAAACAAATATATCAACCTGTCCATTTTGGTCTTCATCATTCCACATTTTCATCTACTATCAATAACTGCCTGCCTGCATCAGGTTTTGTACATCTGGAAACTTTATATCATCTCTACTCTTAAGATATTTTTGCTGGGTATAGAATTCTAGATATTTTTCTTTTCATTATTTTAAAGATGTTTCTCCATTATCTTCTCATATATTGTTTATGATGAGACTTCTGTTATCTTTATCTTTGTTCCTCTATTCTTTTTCCATTGTCTGCTTTAAGAATTTATCACTGGTTATTATGTGACTTGTTAGTTTTCCTTGTCTTTGTGCTTAGGGTTCACTGAATTTGATCTGTGTTAGTAGTTATAAGTTTTGGAATTTTTTAGAGAATTATTCAAGTATTTTTTGTTTGTACTCTTCGACTCTCCTTCCCTCAGGGACTAGTGATACTACCAGGCCAAAGTTGTTCCACAATTCACTTTACTGATCTTCTAATTTTTTCAAATTCTTTTTCTTTCTCCTTTTCATTTTGGATAACTTCTATGGATAGGTCAAGTTCATTAATCACTATACTTTTCTTCTGCAATATTTCATTTGCCATCAATCCCATCTAGTGTATTTCCCCCTTTAGGCATTAGTTTTCATGCCTAGAAATTTGCCTTTTGCCTTTTTGTTTTACATCTTGCTATAACTTTTGAACACACATGGTGGTTAAAATTGCTTTAATATCATCATCTAGGTAATGTATCAGATCTAGGTTGATTTCAATCGGTTGGTTACTCTCAGTTGGTTACTATTAGTTGTGTTTTCTCACTTTTTTCCATGCCTAGTGATCCTAATCAAATGACAGCCATTGTGATTTGTCTTTCAGTATTTTTGAACTTTGTTCTGAGATGCAGTTATGTTCCTTGGAAATGGTTTGATCTTTTTGGATCTTGTTTTATGCTTTGTTGGGTTGGATCAGAGCAGTGCAGGCAAGTACTAAATATTCTCTGCTACTGAGGCAAGTGTTACCTAGTGACCTGTGGCTGCTGAGATCAGGCACTTTTACTAGACCCATAATGAGTCCCTGACAATATTTCCTCTTGTCCTTTCAGATGGCTTCATGCAGCCTCAGCTTCCTCACTTACAAGTGCTAGCTGGTACTGAACGTAATATATAATAGATCTCTGGAGTTAATGTTCTCTCCTCACTAGTACTGTGTCCTGTGAACTCTGTCAAGTTTTCCCTAGGTTCTCAGCTCCACTGCTTCACTCAGGGAGTCCACTGGGTTCTTCTCTCTTCTCTTCTCCCTGGAATCAGTCTGGATGCTTTTTCAAAGCATTAAATTGGAAAAGTGCAAGACCATTTGCTTGTGTCCAAATTCTCAGGGGTTATCTTCCTCATTTTCTTAAATCTATTGGCTTGAAAACCACTTTTCCATGTAGTTTTTTGTTTGGTTGTTTCATCTGGAAGGGTACATGCAGTCCCTGTTTTTGCTATGTTGGATAGAAATAGAAGTTACAACTGGCTTTTAAGAAACTACAAGTACCTTAGTTTCTGTGTCATGTCAAAGAATATCCACAAGATCTGAAAAAAACTATTACAATACTTCTCCTTTTCCCAACTACACATCTGGGAGAGATTGGACTTTCTTCATATACTTCAATCCTAACAATAAATTACAACAAATAAAATGCAGAAACGTGAGAATCCAGTTATAAAGGATGATATTATAGATTTGGCAGAAATATAAACAATGTTATTTTTTCTCACTAAATTTTGATTTAGAATCAGAGTAGCTGAAAGGTACTCTAGAGGAAGTAAATAGTGGACAGGAAAGACCTTAGCAAAAGTAGATTTGTCAAAGTACATGATATGAAGCCACTTAATGATAAAAATTCTCAGTTCTTTATTTCTCTGATATAGAAAATTCACCTATAACTATTTATTATATAATTATTAGATACTAATAGTTACTAATATCTGTTACCCCATTGTATAAATAAAAATACAATGTACTTTCTTTCTAGAATATTTGCTATATTGGGTACCCTAAGACATATTAATAGTGGTGAATACTATGATAAGTAAGTCACATCTAGAAGCTTTCTCAGGTCATCAAAAGTCATCTGTGATGAACAGACCATCTTTACTGCCTTATGACTTCTGCTTAAATTTCTTTTTCTGGCTTAGTAAGTCCAAACAGGCAAAAAAGGGGGTGCGGGGAAGTAACAGATTAGTAAACTCAGTGAGTCAGTCAAGAGAAAAATTACAAAGCTAATAGAAAAACTGAAAAAAAAAAAAAAATTCTCATTTTTAATCCTGGAATGAATTTTTAATACAAGAAACGATGAACATTATTATTAAACAGTCCTTAATGTGTTTTAACTTTTGATATTACAAAATAATTAATACTCCCACAAACAAGTTGTTTTACATACTAATTAATACTCTGAAGCAAATAGTATAATTGTCTAATTATACAAATAATTTTAATCCCAGTTTTAACTTGCCTGTGACTTTCAAAATAACAGTATTCACTTTTTTTAAATCTATATAATAAAAATGCTGAACAAGATATCTGATGTTTCTCTTTTTCTTTTGGTATCTGAAGTTTCTAAGAGCTCTAAATGTTAATGTTACATAACTTATATAGTCAATCCACTTTCTTTTCTCTGGACTTCTAAGCATTTTACTAAAAATGGTAGAAAGCTTCCAAACACGTGTTTTAGAAAATTCAAATTCAAATCTATTTCATACTAGGAATTGAGTAGTACTTTATAAATAAACTGAAGTCCTTTATTTCCTACCAACCATGTTCCTAAGCATATGGAAGTATTAAGTAAAATTCAGATATGTATAAAAATCTAAAGAAAGTTATTGAAAATAAAATATAAAAATGGCTGTTAAACTTAGTAACTGAAGCTCATACTCAGAACAGGTTTATTACAATAAAAAATTAAGTAGGTCACCTGGTTTTGGATGATCCTCTCCAATCATAGTATTTAAAAATATAACTACTTTCCTCTGTATTCTAGGTATATAATTGCTAGCTTTCCTGAACTTTGTAAATTTATATGTAATTACTTTCACATATATATCCAAGGAAAGGTTTCACTGATCATTGCAAACACTGATTTATTAAATAAACAAGTCCATGCTTATAGCAGCATTCAATTTCTCACAGAGAAATCAAGAAAGAAATATTTCCTATCATAGATAGTTATCAACTGTCTTTGTTAAGTCTTCCAACTAATATTTCAGTAAAGGAATCAAGTGGGAGCTCCTTTTACAGATGACGCCTGTGTTTTTGCCATTCTTCGAACCAGTGCTTCTTGTCTTTTTTTCTGAATTTCTTCAGGAGAATACTTTCTATTTTTCTCTTCTTCCTCTACAAATTAAATAAAATATAGGTATTAGTCCTATAAGTTATAGTCATTCTGAATGAGTTTTAATTTTAAATCACCCATATTTGCCACATTGGTTTGGCTATCAAATCACACTCAACTATTAAATATAGAGTCCCAAGTATAGATACAATGCTCTGTGTCAAAAGAAAATCAAGCAATGATTGATCTGTCCTTAGTTGATGCTCTCTTTTCACAGTATGATAAAATTCATTTGATTTTAAAAGCTGTGCATTCTGATAACCTAGCAAATTCTTCTGGACAGTGACATCTAACTACATAAAACCTACAACAGTGTATTTTAAAAACAAAGTGGGACTTTAAATGCTGTGTAAACTTTAATAACAGAGTAGTCAAAATATAATCAATTAAATGAGAACAATAAAATCTTCAATCTGAGTGTCTTTTTAATATTTATAAAACATGAAGCATTCTGATATAGTCTTGTGAAATATATGTCAGACAAACCTATTATGAAATAACGTGTTTTAATTTAAATAAGTGAAAATAGAAAAGTTCTGTTTTTAAAAATTGCACTGTTTTTTGAGAACACCATGCGAGTGAGAAGTATAGGTTGGTACATCTCCAAATGTATGTTGCCACACCAGAAGCACTATCAAGGTTCCTGTAAGACCCCTCTACACTTAGCCCTCCAACCCCACCCTCCCTTTCTGGTAGCCTCAGTTCTGTAGTCAAGTTTCTAGGGATTGTTTTGGTTTGGTTTTGTCTGTTCCAAAAATGTTTTAGTCTAATAACATACCCAGTTTTACCACTGCCAAATTACCGAGTTCTAATAAAATGAATTTAATTCCAAGTTACGTCACTTTGAGCTAACATGCTAGATTATCTACATAGGGCTAAGGAGAATCAAATTTTAAAAGTAGTAAACCTAGTTTTCTCATTAAAATGATATTTTAAAATTAAGACTATTACACCAATACACATTTTAGTGATCTTGTATTGGCAAAACTATGTAAAATCTGCCTTTCATAGAATAAAATAAGAATTTGTAGCTGGCAGAAAAGTATGTTAACATTTAGACAAAAGTTTGGAATTTGTTATATTTCTTTTTTAATTAACAAAGACATTTGTCAAAAACATATCATCTGCCTCCCCTTCCTTTTTTGGTAAGATCAGAAATGGGAGAAGGTGTTCAGGATAAGAGACACATATTTTGAATCAATTCCCCAGATGATTCTGATAACTTCTATTTCCTAACCTAATTATCATAGACTGTAGCTATTTTTGCTAACAAAAATATACTACAAGATAATTTACAATAGTTTGACTATCTAATATTTTAGTCTCAAAGCTTAGACACACAAGAAACTCAGAACACACACACTTAATTGTTTACACTTAATTGACCAAAAGTTTCAAAGGAAAATGGGTTAATAAATCCATGAACATGGAAAAGAAAAGAGTTCTCTAAAATTGGCCTTATGGCTGGCTTGGTGATATTCAGGAAAATAATTTCAAATGATATAATAAAGTCACACTGTGAAAATTTGATTTAGTCATTCATTTCTCCCATCAGCCCTTCCTTTAACTCAACCTGCAATAAGAATACATAGCAAAATCTCAAACTACTGCAAGGTTCAAAGCAAAAATAGCTCTTACACTTTACCCTTAAACAGGGATCAACAATTTGTTTTTCTGATAAGGGCCAGAGAATAAATGTTAACCTTTCAGGGTCATAAAATCTCTTCAGTATCTGCTCACCTCTTCTACCGTAGCATAAAAACTGTCATGGATAATACATATATAAATGATGTACCAGTATTACACTTTATTTATAGCTAATTAAAGTTGAATTCCATAAAGTTTTCAAAAGTCACAAAACATTCTTTTCCATTCTTTCAATCATTTAAAACATTCTGAAAACATTTTAGCATGTTACCTATAAACTGGATTTTAACAGGCCACTGTTTGCCAAATGGTGTCTTAAAGCAATGAGGTAGTTAAGAATGTTTTTATTTTCAGAGGAGTACTTTGCTACATACCAAATTAAAAAGAAATAGAAACAATAGAGGATATAAACAAATATTAACTGTAAGATTAGGCACTATCAGTAAACAAAAAGGAAAAATTGATAAAGTAAACTAAATGGCATCTATACAAAATGTACAAAGGATACTAGATAAAAGTTTCGGGAAAAATCAAATAATTTAGAAAGATTTAGTTCTTAATGAATTTATTACTATATGCAAATAAATCCATGCTGGGAGTTCAGTTAATTACACTTAGTTAAATATAAGTTTAAAAACTTAAAATTATTACAGGTTGATAATTTTTTAAGTTTCAAAATTTCTATTTTTGGATATAATATAGAGAAATATTCACTGTTAGTGTTAGTAAGAACTTAAATTGGTGTAGGAAGATATGGCATGTGCACCAAAATTCAAAACATATTCTTATCAATTTTTGAATAATTAACAGATACAGCCACCTGAGCTTTCAGAAATTTATGTAAGGATATTCACGGAAGGAATGTTTCTAATGCAAAAATTGTAACCTAACTAAATGTCCATCAGTAGAAACTAAACTATGGTACCCTATACAGTCCTTAAAAAGGACTGAAGCAAATCTATATGTACTAACAGGAAAAGATTGCTGCAGTATATTAAGTGGTGGGAAACTGTCAAATAGTGGCTATATAATTTCATCTACAGGTATATACACATTTTTTTATGCAAAGAAAATGTAACATTATACATACTAAATTGTTAATAGTGGCTTCCCTGGGAAATCATTGTGGGAAAGGGTAAAAAGAGAACAACTTTCTACTTCAAATTATTTTATATTGTTTTCTTTCTTTTAAAGCAACTAACATATACTCTTATAAATTAAAAAAAAGGGGGGGAGGATAACTTTAGTAGGAAAGTTGTAACAGTAATTCTAACAAATGCATAGCCTAGAATCCAGACAATGAAAATAGTAACAATCCAATGTGAAAAGAAACTAAAATACTATGGATTTATATAATAAATACGATTCCTAATTTTAGTCCAAGTGAGGGAAACTGCAATTATAAGCTAACACAGTAGATGTTGTTAACAGAAGTTAGTGATGGGTATTAGAGAAACTTCAGAAAAAGAATCTAGATCAAACTATGTGGTTAGAAACACATTGTGTTTAACTTTTTATTGAAGTAACATTGATTTATAACATTTCACCTATATAGCATTATAATTTGACATCTATATCCACTATATCATTGTGTTGACAAATGGAAAATGGCCAGGAAGATCTGAAGTATTCACGTGTGGGAGCCATATTTGTGGGGTAGGAAGAGCAAGTGCAAAGATTTGAGGTTGTGAGAAAGCACTAGGAATTAAAAAAAACAAGTTATGCCAGATACACTCCCTTTTTAAAAAGTATAGTTATTGATGGAAAACAAACTTTTTACATTATATTGCATGTTCATTTAAATATTAAACATCTTCTATGTGAGTGATGCTATAGTAGGTCTAAGTATTCATCGAAAAAAACCAAAGACATACCTAGCTTCTGAACTAGGAAATAAGGTGTTCTGTTTGAGGGAATGAAGGACAGCTGTTGCAACTGGAACTTCACAGGTAAGGGTAAATAAAAGAGTGCAGGCAGGTTCATGAGAGATAATCAAGAGCCTTTTAGACCACAGTTTTAAGTTTGGATTTTATTTGAAATCTGATGGGCAGTCATTTAAAGTTGAATTAACACAGGAATGACATATTTGCTTATTTTTTTAAAAGAGATTATTCTATTTGAAGATGAATATTGAAAGTAGACTGGTGAAAGAATAGCAGTAGTCTGAACAAAAGATGTTGGCTTAGATAAGGTTGGTAGTCATAGAGTAAGAAATTCTTAAATGGACGATTTGAGATATATTTTTCGAGGTAGAAACAATGGAACTTACTCATAGCAAAACAAATTGGGGAAAAGAGAAACTGGAAGAATGAAAGATGACAGTTTATGTTGAATAATTACAATTCTAACCTTCACAACTAACACAATACTGTTTACCTCAATGTTATCCTACATATAAGAGTAAGATTATTCAGATTTTAAAATGAGGTATTTAATAAATCTCACACAGCAATACATATATCCAAAACAGCAATTTTCCAGGAACTAAAAAAATCCTTCATCAAATATGAGTGCCTACTATATGCTAGTCACTGTAAGTGTTGAAAAAGACAGTGATGAAGTCTTTTGAACCACTAACACTTGTATAGTACAGCATATCTGTAAACATCTCTTTTCAGAATTCTAGTTAAAGTTCAGTTTTTTCTTATCTCATGCAAATTGAATACAATTACTAGTTTTAACTACTTTTCAGAATGAAACTTTTTAAAGAAGAGCATTTCATACATACCTTTTGATGGTTGTTTCGAAGATTCAGAAAGTTTCACCGAAGATTGCTGTTTAATAGCATCCCCACATAATGGGTTGACAATTTTATTTTTCTCTAAACCCTGTGCAATTTTGGTATCAGAAATACTTCCTGTTCTACAGTTTTGATTAAACTGAGAAAGAAGTTGAGAATTCTTCATTCTTGTAAAGGTATACTTAGAAAATCCAACTGGCCTATTAAGGTCGCTCTGAGCTTCATCTGTTACGGTCTGACAAGACAGATTCTGAATATTCAAATTCTTCTTATTAGAAGCCATTTCTGTACGCATGTGATCTGAACTCAAACTCGAACTTCTTGTAAGAACCAATTTGGAACTATTCGCTTTTATTGGAACACCAGTGTTATTCCAAGACATGTGCAAATTATTTGCTTGACAAGTTGAGTTATTAGGGTATATAGTCAAATTTGTTGTAGCACCTAAAAAACTTGGAGAATTTCCACAAACTTCCCTTTTCTCTGTCTTCACTGATTTATTTATTTGAGGGCTATTTGTCAAGGAAGATGTTTGCACTGAAATGCTGCTCAGATTCAAATGCTGCGATTGCACCAACTGACTTCCTTGTTTAGATATAGTAAACCTATTTCTGGCTTCATGTTTGCAACTGTTAAGGCTCTCAAGTATACCTTCTGACATCTTGCTGTCCTTCTTAATGTCTTGTTGCTGAGTTAGTTTTTCAATATCATCACATGCTTGGTATAATAAATCATCATCTACATCATCTGCTTCCCAATTATTCTCTAATTGATGACATGCTTTAATAATTTCATTGGCAAATGATGGATCATTCCAATCATCAAAGAAAGAGCCTAACTTGGACGTATTATTCTGATTTGGGTTCTGAACACTAGTTATGTTGTCCAAAGTTGCAGAGTCAAAAGGATCTTTAATAGCAGTTGCTTTAAAAGACTGACTAACACTCGTCTTATTATTTTGATCATGAGAATATCTTGTGTTTAGAGTAGAGTTCTTAGAAGCATTTACATTAGAAATAAATTTAGTGTGTGTATCTTCCTTTACTTTCGTTAGATTAGATGCAATTGTACAATCTTGAAACTTGTCTTGAACAATAATTTTATTGAAAGATTTCTCAAATTTCATTTTATTTCCAGTGGAATGTAATATGGTTGGTTTATCATTTGGATTTGGTGAAAGTCTATATTTTCCATCACATGTTAATTCACTGTTACGTGTCTGTAAAGAAACATCTTGTAAATTTTTTGGATCTCTTAACCTGGCATCGAGATTTATATCAGTCAGTATTGACTTACTTTTATCATTTTTATTGTTAAAGTTACAAATTCCCTTTTGATCAGCAATCTGGGATGTTTCAGACACAGGGGAAAGTTCAGGCACTTTGATGTTTCGCAAAGCAATAGGTTCATTAGCTAGTAAGTTTTCCCAGTTGTCCTCAAAATCACTGGTAGTAAATCCATCAATATGTTTATTAAAAGCTTCTTCCTTCTTAGTGTAGGAAGTCACACATGATTGTATTATGGGAGTATCTATTTGATGAGAAAGTGATCCTGGGGTTTTATTTGCCAGCTTTTCAGTGACCAGAGTTTCATTAGCAATATTTTCCTTTTTCAAAACACTTTTCTTTCCAAAGATAGTATTACTGGTGTTCAAAGAAGTATGTGACACATCCTGGCTTAACTGTCCACTGCATTTCTGAGTAGAACCATCAAAAATGGCATTAAAGGCTGCTTCAGCATTCTGGTCAAATGGCTTCTGACTACTATTCTGATCATTCACCACAGGTATCTTGGTGTTTTCTTTAGTTGGTTTCTTCTTTAGTATAGCATTATCTACTTCAGGACCTATTTCATATAACTGCATTTGTACATTATCTTCATAATTATTTAAATTTTTTGCTTCAGAAATTGTTTGGATAAAATCATGATTTCTCCTGTGCTGCTCCTGAATCACATCTAGCTCTTCCATGTTTTTATCAAATTGTTTTGCCAGTTTCATAAGTTCTTCTTCTCGATTTTGTGTTTTTAACCTATTAAACAAATATTAAAAATTAATGACTAAGTTGTAAGACTCATGAATATTCAATTTTTTATCACATTTTACTGTTTAAACTTGAAATTGTAACAGTTCTATTATAATACACAATGTTACATCAAAACTATGGGAAATAATTTATAACCACGTGGATATCATAAATCAGATTATTAACATATTTACTTCAATGTATCTCAGAATGTCTGAAAAATTTAAACTTACTTTGTACAGCTGATTTTTGCTCTTGATTTTCCCTTTGCTACACTAGGGGTACAAGGAATAGCTGTTTCACCAATCCACATTCCCAGCATGGAGTTAGCTGTTGGTTTTTCTTCCTTTGACAGAAAAGGGAAAAAAAATAGGGGTGAAAATACTCCCATTCTGCCCTTGGCCTAACCCCCACTCAGGAGGGAGGGAGGAAAGGAGGAGGGGAAGAAGGGGAGGGTGGGGAGGGAGGGGATGGTGGGGAGAGAGGGAAGGGTGGGGGGAGGGAGGGAAGAAGGGGGGATGGGAGGGAGGGAGGGGGGAGGGAAGGAAGGAAGTTAGTTTTAATTAGCCTCAATTATTTTTCTAAAGGAGTATATTTTGGTAAGGTAACAGGTACTAAGAAAAAAAACCTCCAAGACAATGAGTAGCTAAAGGATGGCACTAACAAGTTGCAAAAAGTGATCTACTTATGTTTTAGAAAACATTGTGAATTGAAGATTTCTCATTTAAAAACAGAACATTTAAGTTTTAAAAATTAACAAATGCATATTTAACAGTAACAACATGTTTTTATCAAAAGAAAATTGACTTTTCAGTTGTCATTAAGGCAGTCATAAAAATAAACATTAGTATCAGAAATAAACTATGTAGCAGAAATCATAAGAAGACTAAAGACTAAAGATACCTAATGAATTCTTTTGTGTAAACTAACATTTCAAATTTTCCTTATATGCTCATTATAATTTTTATCTAAAGTTCCGCAATGCATGTTAACCAGTATTAAGGCTAGGAGAGAGGCATTTTAGTGCAGAGTATTTTTGCTATGCATTTTAGCCAGATGACTACACCAAAAATTGAGCAAAGGAGTTCTTGCAGTAGTTCAAAACAAGCCAACAATCATACGAGTTAACTACCCAAAAGGAATATAAATATTGTACAAAGTAAAAATATTCTTAATAGTAAATTATGTTATTTGAAAGCAAAGACTATTCATGATAATTAAGCAAAATGCCAGGCACAAAGAAGACACCAGTCACATTTATTTATTAGAAGGTTTAGGTAATAGATCCCTAAACCTAGGTAAAAGGTTTTGGTAGAAGCTTGGTGATTTAAATTTCCAATTAATCATCAAGCAGTTTTCTTAGATGTCCACTTGAAGCTAGTAACTTTTAGCTTTGCAAAATAGTCAACAAAATCAGTTATTTCACTTTGATTCAATATTCAACAACAATCTAGGGACAATAACATCCTTAATGATTTAATTATAGATTTTCAATCCATTTATCAAGTAATTTTAAAATGTATTCAGTTTTTAGACAATAAAAATGACATTGTATATTCAACATATTTATGGGTTCACTATATATTTGTATATGTTTACGTTGTATTTAAAAATCTTCTTCATACATAATTACATAATTTATTGATTCCCAACTACAATCCAACTGCTGTATAAGTTATCTAAAAAACATTATTTCATTTCATCCTAAAAAATACAACTTGCAACACTGTAACAACATGATGGCAAAATATATACCATCTTCAAATAACATTTTATAAAACATAGCCCTAAAGAAAGAAAATGACTCTCCAATTAAAAGGGAATCCTGCTTTTAAAAAATGCTACCTCTAAAGATATTAAAGTAACTTAAGCAATTATTTGAGGGTAACTCATCTAAAAATAAACAGCATTAACATGTCATTCTGAGAACATGACTGCTCTTAAAAGACCCTGATACTACCAAAGATTTACATTGCTTTAAAAATGCTCACTTGAAAAGGGTAACATTTAAAAGCAACTAATTTCACCGTATTTTTTCTTTTACACAAGTTACCACTTGCACACTGCTGCCATTTCTTTATGTGAACTATTATTTCTAGCCCACTTAGGTAAAGAGTCCAATAATTTACTCAACTATCTTTTTATCACTATTTAGACTGGCTAGCCCAAACACATTTTATTATGCTTCTTTCATGTGAAACCCGCAATTAATGAAGATCTATTGTTAACTTATGAAGTAAGCAGTATTATGGCATAAATGCTATTTAACTAATGAACCATATGTAAAATGAATTTCTATGACATGCCAAACATGGAATGCAGAGCTAGTAGCAACAGAGTTGTTTTGACTGTGCTGGTTGTAATTTTGGATATTTTATAGCCAATAAGAAGAACTTTATTTCCTGTCTTCTCCTCCACCTGGATGATGGCGATTCCGTGTAACTAGTTTGGACCAGTGCCATGTACTATTTATGGTCAACAGATAGTGATTTTCTTCCAACAGAGAATTTTCCACAGAGTACTTCTCATAGAAGAGAAACTAAGCAAAATTTGGATATTTTCTGAATTTTAATACTGTTGAATAAGAAAAGGAGAGGAAAGCCAAAAGGTTCAGAATAGAGGATGCTTAAACATATTCATTTCATTCAATAAAACAACTGAAATAAGAAATTTTGAAGATGGTTCTCACAATAATTTAACTATCATTATTAACTTTAATATAACCTTAAACTTATAGTGTTTTATAGTTTACAAAGAATTTTCATCTAATTTAATCATAATAGTCCAATGAAGAGAACAAGAAAAATTATAATTCTAGTTTATGGTTAAATGAATTGAAGTTCAGAGAGCTTAACTGAATTGCTTAAGGTGACCCAATATAGGAGGCTGACTGAGAATTAACTCCAAACCCAGTGTTCTTTCCACTTTATTAAGTGTTTTTTGATTATCTTATCAGTCAATAAGTATTAAGAGCAGCTTCACTGGGGAAAAGATGGGCTAGAGATAGTAAGCAATACTAACCACAAAAAAAAAACTTAACAGTTTGAATTATCAATTGATTCTATTTTTTAATAATGTGAAAAATGATGTCATATATTGTTAAACAACATTAAAAAAGGAAACAAAGCTCTAGTCAACAATCATCACTCTATGTTTAGGAAAACATATATTAATAATTTTAATGTTCCTTTTTTTCAAAGCATGCATTTCCGTAGATGAAAAAGTAAAAGTAATCTTTGCTGCTCCATTTTGGAAAAGAGAACTGTAAAAGACACCAAAATTTTTTCATGTTTGTGAAATGAATTACACGAGGATTAAGTGGCATATTTTTCATTATTTTAAAATAAACTATAATGTTAGTGATATTTACCTGAGGAGCAATACGGTTAACAATATGTGAGATTTCATCACTATCTGTGATGTAAATCTGTTTTTTTCTTCCTTTACCTAAAAAAACAAAGAGTTCTATAAATTGCAAACCAAAAAAACCCCTTAATTTTTAAAAATAAAGGCCACTGTTAAAACAATTTTAATTAGCACAGCTTAGATCACTATGTACTCTGGCATCACACACCTATCATAATACATTAAGTCTCCCCCAATCTGCTATTCCTGATATTATAACTCAACCAAGATTCTATAGTTACAAGTATCTACATTCATTTCAAATATTTACCAAGGTAAAACAAGTTAACAACAAATTACCTAACTGTTTTGTCATTGGAGAATTTTGATCCCAAAAGATATCATTCAGTCCATCTGGATCATTAGGAGAACTGAAGGCAGATGACAGTAAGTCCATTTTCAGCACTCTCTCTGGGGTTTCATACCTTTCTATATAAAATAAAATTAAAATAATGATTGTTGCATTTCAAAGTATCACTTTACTTCGTAATGCCCCATATACTTTTTAATAGTCCAAGTGTAAGTTTTTCTGATATGATTACTTTAACCACAATTAAAATGATTCACATAAAAATTCTTGTAATGCTTCACACATTTGATGTCGCAAATTACATTAAGATAATCTACAAGCTCTATGAATGTAAAATACTGTGTAACCTAGTTAGGAAAATTCATTAGCCATGGAAGTTGGGAGGCTTTGGGAACCACCTAATTTATAGATTGATTTCAAAATCCAAAGTATCCCGACAGAAAGATTAAAGTCTAGGTTTAGCCCCTCATAAGCAAATCTATCCAGCTTACACTAATTACTCCAAAAAACATTAGTGATCCACTTGGTGGGGTAAGTTTTATATAGTGTCACTTTTACATTTCTGCAGAGATTTGTCTTTGTTTATTCCGAAATTGCTTTATGGGAGTAAACAAAAGACAAGTAAGAGAACAAGTTTTATTTCAAGAACACGCTCTAGGAATGAGGTTTGTCTGAGTTCCAGGTCCTACCATGATTTACGAAATTTCAAACAGCAGAGCAAAAATTCACCAGAATGAAATATTCAAGGGTACTTAGTTTCCCGCTTCAGGGGCTACAAGAAATAGGAACTTCCGGTTTCTTCATAAGAAGGTGAGCTATCCACCAAAGCTTTGAGGACAGCGGTAGCTTTTTTGGTGGCCCCTTCGCTAACGCAACTCAGGGCAAAAAGTTTAAGGGGGAAAATCACTCCTCTGGGAACAGCTGAAGGTAGCAGGCCAGCCAGGTACTTTTCCTCGCCATGCTAATGCTGATGACTGGAGGAGCAGCTTAGCTATTAGCCAGCCTCCCCTCAAACAGGTAAAAACCACGACTTATTCCCGTGGCAGGGGCGAAAAGCGGGTGGTATAGCCTCACGCGACGGTGCTGAAACTTTATCAGAGCCGTGCTGGAGCCGTGGGGGAGTGGTGTGGGGCTCCTTTTGGACTGAAGAAGCCCGCAGCCCAGTGGCAGGAAACACTTGAGACTCCACCCCCACCCGCTTTCCCGGCTCGTCCGGTGCAAGTTGGGCTGTGGGGCTGCAGCGCTGAGCTGCGGAGGCCGCGCGGCCAACATCTCACCCTCGGGGTTACTTTTACCGCACGTAGCGGCTGCCGGAGGCTGCTCTTGCTGCGGCTGGGGCACGGGAGGTCCCTCTCCGGCCCCGCGGAGCCCAGAGCCGCGGGCCGCCCTCAGCCGCCTCTTCCCTGGCTCGACCACCGAGCTGCAGTCCTCAGCCGCTTTGCGCGGCGTGCTCTTCAGGCCGGGGCTATCCCCATGTTTCCTTCGCCGACTCATTGCCTATGATCCCCCTCCACCGGCCGTTTCTCTTTCACATTTTGGAACGGGGTTCGTAAGGCAACGGGACTACGGACGGGACCCCGCGCCAACGGGCGCCGCCATTTTGGCTGGTAGCGCGCTCGTCAGAGGCGCCTGCTGATTGGCTGTGTCCGGCCTGGGGGCGGGGCGTCGGGGGGAGGCGTGCGCTTCCGCAGCCGGCTCTGGTGCCTGCTCTGCTGCTATCAGACTCGGAATTGGGAAGGGTTGGCTGTAGGGGCCATGATCTGGCTTTAGTAGGCTGAAGGGACAGCTCGCGAGGTGGAAAGATTAAATCCACTGACATCTTTTAAAGAATTTACAAAGAGCATTACACATTCACCTTCAAATTATTGTGGGTTTTAGTGTTTTCAAGAAGGGGAAATAGAGGTGGAGACTAACAGGGAAGAAATATTTGCATAAATGATATGCACATAAGGTAATCCCAAAATTAGGAAAATCGTTAAATTTATAAATTGATTTAACAGAATTGCTGCCACAAGGACAATATTCAAATATAGTGTCGTGTGTCAATAGTAACAACGTTGGCATTTTAAAGAAATTCGATTTATAATTGCATATGAGATCAAAAAAATAGGAGTAAATGTAACCAAAGATTGTACACAAAAGTCCTAAATAAATCAAAGTCTTAAATAAGTGGATCATACTGTTGTAGAGCAACCCCGATACAAAACGGGGTGCCTGACTGTGGGTCCTCACCCGCGCGCTTAAAAGGACTTATCAATGGTCTACTGCAGGCACACGTGAAAGGTTAATAAAAGGTTTATTTACAAGGGAAGGGGAAATGAGGGAATGTACAGCTCTGGGAGAAAAGTGGGAGACAAAGTTTTAAATGAGTCCTACCCAATCCGCTGATCAGGAATCCCAAAATGGCACTCTCAGAGTTGGCCGCCAGCCAGGAGCGGTGAAGCCAGGAGGCGAGCAGTTGCGAGCCAGCCAGCCCAAGGCCCACGTGTTTGGTTTTTATATCCAACCTGGCCGCCCAACTCCACCCTCAGGTCCCAGCCACCCTCCCTTGGTGGTGATGGGATTTGTCTTTCCCAATGTCTTGATGGCTTTAGTCTGGAGTGGGGGTGGGGTCCACAAAGCCTGTATGGGATTATCTCAGGACATCATTTCCCCCTAACAATACTATGTTGATGGGGTGCAAGGATCAATATCGTTACAATGTCTGTTCTTCCATAACTCGATCTATAGGTTCAATGTAAATCCATTCAAAATTGCAGTAGGCAGGGGGGATGTGTGTGTAACTTGTTTATTTTAAAATGTGTATAGAAATATAAAAGTTTGAAAATATCAGAGATTCTTGAAGATATCTTTAAGAATAATGAATTGGATATCTATCAAGTGTCAAGACTTAAAAAGTTATGATAATTAAGACAGTGAGGCAATGGTGAAAAAAATCAATGATAAAAGCAGAGTAGGCAGTTCAGAAACAGACCTTAAAAATTACACTTGATGTAAGACAAAGATCATCCTCCTGAGCAGTGGGAAAAGTAGTTCTTTTTTTTTTTTTAATAGAGGCATGTTTTATTTATTTATTTGTTTGTTTGTTTTGTTTATACATGCACTGGGTACAGTCAGAAGTGCGGGAGGGTGAGTGAATTCACCAGAGCCAGAGCAGGGAGCAGAGCAGGCAGAAGGACCGAGGTACACTGCTGAGGGGAGCAGCGGGCGGCAGGAGAGGTCTGCGCGCCATGTGGGACCCTCCTCTGGTGGCCTGGGAGCAGCCAGGGATCGAACCGCGCCGCAGAGGCCGCGGGCAGCTTCGCAACCCAGCGCTCAACCGCTGCGCCACCGGGGAGGCCCGGGAAAGTAGTTCTTGATAATAGTGTTTGATTAATTTGATATCACATAAAAATGTAACATTTATAGCAAACCATTCAAAACAAGTGCAAATTGATCATATATTTAATTGTGAAGAGTAAAATAATTAACATTCTAGAAAATGACATAAATTGTCATCATGACAAAGAATGAATTTTAAATTGAATCAAAAGGTCACCAACCATAAAGAAAATAATTATAAATCTGACTGCATTAAATTAATAACTTGAGTTCATCTGTCTGTCCAAAAACAACACTGGAGTGATTGAAAGGCAAGACACATACAGGGAGAGGTATCCCATAGGGGCCTCCCCTCTGGCTCAGCGGGTTGAGCGCCTCACTGTGAAGCTGTCCGCAGCCTCTACAGTGTGGGTTTGATCCCGGCAGGCCACCGAGAATCCCACATGGCGAAGCACACCTCTCCTGTCTCACCTGCTGCTCCACTCAGCTCCCCTCAGTTCCCCTCACTGGTGTATTTCGGTCCTCTGCTTGTTCTGCTCCCTGCTGTGTGTCTGGTGAATCCTCTAACCCTCCCTCGCCTCTGGCCTGTACCCCAACTCTTGTATAAAAATAAATAAATCTTTATTTATTTAAGATTTATTTTTCATTTTACACAAGAACCAGGGCACAGGCTAGATGCGCGGGAGGGTGAGAGGATTCGCCAGAGACAGAGAGGGGAACAGAACAGGCAGACTGATGAAATACACTGCTGAGGGGAGCAGTGGGTGAGACAGGAGAGGTCTGCCGCACCATGTGGGATTCTTGCCAGCCAGCCTGGATCGAACCCGCACTGCAGAGGCTGCGGACAGCTTCACAGTGCTGCGCTCAACCTCCTGTGCCACCAGGGCAGGCCCCAAAATAAATCAATTTAAAAAAAAATAAAGTAAGGCCCATATACAAAATAAATGAAGAACTGATAGAAACAACTAAGAAAATAATTGTCTACACATAAGAAAAATTGAGTCAGGTACTGTAGCAGGTTCTCCAAAAGAGAAAATCAGAATGATCAGCAAACCTTGTAGAAAGATTCTCAACCTGCTTGTAATGATGATAGTGAAAATTAAATCCATAATGTGATACTCCATTACTCCCATCCAAATAATTAAAGTTAAAAAGACTGACAAATAGGGCTATCAAGGAAGTAAGCCAGAGATGAAACCACAGACCAAGCCAACATGTGTGTAATACTCCCTTTTATGATCTAGAGGAATGTAGTTTGGGGTCTCTTTGAGTTCTAGGTTTATCAGTAAATTTATCTCAATCTAAGAATCTCATCTTTACTCTTGGCATAGGGGTGAGGTCAACCCCTTCTTGTCTGTCATTTGGAGTCTCCTCCTCTCTGTCTGCTATGCTTCAAAATAAATATTCCTGGCTTACTCAGTTGTTCTTTAGAATTTATAACCATTTGAATTCTCCATAGGCTTGTTATTAAATTGATTGTTTTCCCTTTGCTTACCTATCTGATGGTGATTTGCTTACTCTTCCTTTCTGAGCAGAATGGTTAGGATGATTTCTTCTGTGCTGCAACAGGGACTAAATACATTGTAGTAAAGTCATACAATGGACAATTGTGCAACTGTGAAAAGAATGAGAAAGTTATCCATGTTGATATAGAAAGTTTTCCAAAATACAAAGGTAAGATTGTGTGTGTGTGTGTGTGTGTGTGTGTGTGTGTGTGTGAGAGAGAGAGAGAGAGAGAGAGAGAGAGAGAGAAAGGAGGAAATAGAGGGCCCATTTACCTGGTGTACTAGCGATTGTAATTAAATTTACCTATTATGCCTATCTTTCTTCAAGGGAACTTCATCACCTGTTGCATGGGTGACTTGACTTTAGAAACAAATTCTTAGGTTGACTTTTCACTTATTACTGTTACAGAAAAGTGTATTTTTCTTGGAGAAAAAAAAATATTTCTCTGGAGAAATGAAGTAAGAATATGTTACAGGGTCTTGTGAAAACCATAGGGAGGAGGACCAGAAACTTATGAGAATGCCTGCTCATGCTGATACAGAAAGAAGCAGCAGTGTTATACTGGCAAAAGAGCATTAGAATAAACATAGATTCCAGGTACTTGGTAATTGAACATCCACTCACCTCCAATGTCCATAAGGTTAGTTCTACTGTAAATCTAGTCCTTTCTCTTTAAGTGAAAGCCCTTACAGTAAGCTTCCATTCCTTGAACTAGCAATGCCAGTGAGTCTGTATTCCTTATATCCACAAAAACTGAACTGTAGCAAAGCTTGGGATCAAAGGTTATAGATTATTGTTTTTCAGTTTTTATTAGGATCCACAAATTAGGAATACAAAAATGCTAACTGCAAAATGCTTTTATTTTAAATACTACTTGCAAACCATCCATAGGACAAGCTGGTTACTGTTAACTTTGGCAAAATCACACCTAATTATGTTTAAAAGGTCTGAACAATTTTAAGCATTAAATTAGACTTACAATAAGTTCAATTTTTTAAAATTACTTTGAAAAGTTCAAAATAGAATATATCAGAATCCCATTTAAAGGTAGAGGTGGGAGCTAAAATATTTTAATGAATCATTTGAATTTGAGACAAATCATTGTAGGCACTGTAACTTGAAAAATCACCTTTTTTTTTTTTTTGATCACTATTTTTTAAATATATAAAAGTTTAGAAAGTATGGAAAGTATTTGTCTTTCCAGCCTATGTTTCAGTATAACATTTCAACCTCTGTTTTACCAGTTTCTTCAATTTCCTCACCTCTCAGTCTGCAAATGCACTTCCTTGGTAGCCTCAAACATTTGGGTCAGTCCGATCTCTTCTTTCTTAGGTCCTACACCTGAGCTACTGAGAATGTTAGAGAGGTTTCTAACTGTGCCATCATGAACCTATGAACTTAGTGAGCGTTTAATGGCAAATGACAGTGCTACTGGGCAGTACAAGTTGTACCTCCATCTGCCAATATAGAGATTCCAATTTCTACCAATTTCTACATAAGAATAGATACCATGAGAGAAATGAAAGATTTAACTACTAAGAATGGGCATATGATAAATCTTACATAGAATTTCAAGAATAAACAAGATTTGCAGTACGTATCTATCACCCTGTAGTACTAAGTATACACCCTAAATCCGCACAGGGATAATGACTGTGTGTTTCAGGGATAATTTGGAAAACTGTTTCCCTCTCCTGTCCTAAGTGAAAATTTAAAGATAAAAATCTTAGCAGACCAAAAACATCTTACATGGAGTTAATAACTATTTTCACTGACTTTAATGAATCTAATC